TCTGGAGGTTTTGTCTCCGTATGCTGGCCTTGTGGCACTTGGGGGTCGCGGAATGGAAACCATCAGGCTGTGTACGGTTCTGGTCGGAACCTTAGTGGCGGGGTTTTTTTTGTTTTTTGTTTTTTGTTTTTTGTTTTTTTTTTTTAAAAAAAGAGCTGCTCTGGTGTGAATAGTGCATGTCACAAAGTAAAATACTCAAGAAACTGGACCTCCCTCTGCCCCGAGGTCTGCTGGGTTAGAGGGACCTTGGACCTGCGTGAGTCGCTGAGACGATGCTGGTGGACGGGCTGACTTTAGCCTCCAGCCTAGCCATCCACTTTCTCTCCTTGGATGGTCATATGTAAATATCATGGTCCATTTGAACCTTCTCCCTGTATGGAAAAAAGGGCCTGGTGTTTAGAAGCTGCCCAGAGGGAAGGAGGGTGAAGAAAAGCCATCAGGGAATAAGCAGTCAGGGAACTGAGTGGCCCAGGACGGAGGAACTGATACCCTTACTGCCCGTTCCCGCCGGATGCCGGGTATCTCCGCTACCATGCGGGGCCTCTCCCACCTGAACGGCCGCCTCCGGCAGCCACAGCTTTGAGACCATGGGAATCATGTGAGGAGAGGTGAAGGGAGCCTTTACCCGGAAAAGCTGCCATTTCAGTCCTGGCATCCCTCAGCCAGGACGGTAGCCACAGCTCCAGCCAACCCGGACGGGAATGGCTTGTCCCCATCTATACCTTGGGCTTGGGGCCGGGCTCCTGCATCACAATGCTACTTCCTTACCCAATATTTTCATCCTTTCTAGAATCCATCTACCGCCGTGGGGCCAGAAGATGGAGGAAGCTATACCGCGCCAACGGCCACCTCTTCCAAGCCAAGCGCTTTAACCGGGTGAGTGTATTCCTCTGATGACTCCCTTGCAGGGGTCATTTTTATTGCTTGTACAAGTGAAGAAAAGGGGGAGGGGCCTTTCTCCTGCTGTGCAGGGCTGGGCTAACTCCATGCCCTGGGAAAAAAAGTCCTGAGCCACCAGCCTAACCAGTGTTGCAGGGCTGTGGAGATGTGCTGGGGGCTGCTCGGAGCCTGCACAGTTCCTCTCCAGCCAGTCCACTGAATGGCAGCGGCTGCATGAGAATGCGGCTGAGTCTTGGGCATCCTTTTCTGCTCTTGATTACATAGTCTTTGCTCATTGTCTCTGGCCCTGAGGACCTGGCCTGCCTGCCTGCCTGTTTGGACACATGGTGCTTCTGGAGGGCTATAAGGGTGTGCTTGGACCCCAAACGTCCCAGATGCCTCTACCTTCTTGTCTCCTGTTACTCCAGTGACCAGTCCTTTCCAAGTGACACTTGGCTCAGTCCCTCGGTCTCCTCGTCACAGAGGTTCTTTGTTCTCCAGTGTGCAGGGACTGGGTGACTCTGCGGTGGCTCCCTTTCACAACCAAGGGCAGTGCATGTTGTCCGCTGCGGCCAGCAAGCACACTTTAGAGCAGTATAGGTCCTGTGAACACACAGGAACGGCCTGGAGCCGTTATACTCAAGCGCCACTGCCCAGCCAGCCCTGTACTTTTCCACTCTCTGTCCCTAGGCTGGAATGACACTTTAGCCTAACCATGAGCTGTGGGGTCAGCCCCAGTCCGGCTGCCGCTTAGACAAGAGCTCCCTTCTGTCTTGATTCCCGGTCTGTGACCTATGAACGCCAGTGGGAGGGATGAGGAAGGAGCACAGGTCGAGTCAATATTCATCATGGTGTGAGAGCCACCTGGAGGCCACTGCATCTTCAGGGCAGCCACTGACGCTTCTTTCACACCCACTGACATGAGCCTCTCTGGTCTCTTCTCAAGGCACCCAATCACTATCCTGGGTGATTCTGGGAGTGTGAGCACCCATCATGCCTCAAGAAGTTGGGGCTGCCCTCCCCCTCCCCCGGTGGCTAGTGAGGCTGGAAGGGTAATGGGGCAGAGGAAAAGCTCCTGAAAAAAAAGCTCAGGAGTATATGTATACTTGATCTTGGCCAGAAGGCTGAGAAGCAACCGGCAGGACTGTAGACAGCGCCGGGCTGGGGAGAGACGTGGGCCAGTACCTCGGAAGACAGCCAGCTACTACCCAGAGATCTTGAGACTTCCTGGAAGGAGGTGTCTGGGAAGTCAGCCTGGAGAAGATGCTGGGAATCCAGGATACAGCAGGCACAGTAGAACCCAAATGGTATCAGGGTACACTGAGACCCAGGCTGGGGACGATTCCAATGGCCCTGCGTCTCTGCTATCCCATTAAGATGCTCCTGGTACTCCACGTAGTAGGCGCATACTGAACACACTGCCTTGTTCTTTACTGTGACTGACGATTGGAAGGCTACTTAGGGAAACTAGAGTTGGGCGACTGGGTGGACGCACAGTGGGGAACAAAAAAATGGGCTGTATTTGCTGAGAATGAGCATAATTCTGGGAGCCAACATGGACAGTAGAGAGACCACAGACCGCCACTCACCTCGGAGAGGCCTAGTGTCTTCAGGACAAAGGTTAAAGGGGTGCCAGATGTCAAGTATTAGCTAGCCCAGGTGCTCAGAGGACAGCAGGGGCTGGAATGACGCTGCCCGGCAGGCTATGTTCATGGGATATGTAAGCCAACCAGATAGCCAGGATAGACGTTGTCTGCTGGGAATATGGAGAAATGGAGACATCTGGCCTTGGGGCACCAAGGTGCCAGCCCCAGCATTTGTCTGCGAAACAAGCAACTGGCCATCTGGACAGCCAGGTGCCCTCTCTCCTGTGAACCTATCACGGACCAGAGCAGGCGTCTCAGGCAGCCCGGCAGCCACCTCCTCCCAGGGTACTGGAGAGGATCTGAAAGTGCGCTTGTTTCCCTCACTGATGGATGACCGATGGCCAGGACAAAGCTCATATGCTCGCCCATCCACCGGGCACACAGGCCAGGACTCTGGCAACACCAGGAGCCTCTCTTCCCACACGTGTGTGTGGTCATGTGTGTGTCCATGTGCAAACAGATACGCATACACATATACACAGGTTTAGATGGAGGCCTCAAGTTGGCGTCAAGTTATTCCCTTGTCATCCTCCACGTTAATTCTTGAGACAGGGTCTCTTGGTAAGCCTGGAACTCAATTCACCTAGAGCGCCTGGCCAGTGACCCCCAAGGACCCTACTGTCTCTGTTCCCGGTGCTTGGATTATAGTCAGGCACTATACCTACCTTTCTTATGTGGGTGCTGGGGGGGATCAAACTCAGATCCTCATGCTTATATCACAAGCTCTCTAGCTGCCAATGCTCTTTATTGGCAAACCAGAGGAATGTGGTGTGAGCTCTTAGGAGCTGTGCCGCCCCGTGTTTGCCCTCCAACCTCACTCTGGCTCTCAGAAGGAAAACGTTCCTCTGTGAGACTCAAAAGGAGGATCTAGAAGTGACATCTTGGGCCATCTGACAGAGAGGACCCGAGGCCTAGCGTTTACGTAGTGGGAGATGTACTCTCCAGCCCCTTACGTGGAGAATGTTGGTTAAGGAAATGGAAGGTCCTAGCTCTCTTGCCCACCAGTTGCAGAGAGAGCGAGGTTAAGAAAATGATAAAAACCAGAAGTGACGCAGCCTCCAGGGAAAAAGCAGGCACTGGGGACCAAAGGGGTTTTTAGACTTAGCCACATTAGACAATTCAGATTTCCTTGGTTTCTAAACAAACTAAATGCAGAAACCACATAGGAAAATCTGTCTGCATGTATATGGGTGTGTGTTTGTACGCTCCTACCAGAGGGCAACTTCAGATGTCATTCCTCAGGTGCCCATCTACCTTTCTATTGGGATAGGGACTCTCACTGGCTAATATTCATAAGCTGAGCTAGCCACCGATCCCAGGACCCTGCCGGCCTCTACCTCTGCAGTGCTGGGATTTTTCCCCACATAGGTGATTGAGATCAAGCTTTGTGTTTGCAAGGCAAGTACTTTACAGACTGAGCCATCTCCCCTGTCCTAAGGGGGGAAAAATACGTGTTGCAAATAAAACCTAAAGGGATAAAAGATCAAAGGAACACAAATGGTTGCCATTTTGGACTTTCTGCAGGTTACCCTTATTTTCTTTTCCTTTCTTTCTTTGAGATACTTATTTTTAATTTTATGCATACGGGTGTTCTGCCTTCCTGTATGCCTATGCGACCTGGGCATGTAGTACCAACAGAAGCCAGAAGGGGGAGTCGGATCCTCTGGAACTGGAGTTGTACCAGAGCGACCAGCGCTCTTAACCTCTGTGCCATCTCCCCACCCTCTTCAAGTCAGCTTTTGATAAATGCCGGGACCGAGCAGAGCTGTGGGTGTCTGACGATCGTAATTGCTTATAAATGCAGACAGCTTGACCCTTACAAACATTTTTTTAAAGGCAGACATTTTTCTCAGACAGTGTCAAGGGAACTGAACGTAACCATTGCTTAGGGCTCACTGTGTGAGCTGCGGTGCCCCACGGTGGGGTGCAGACATGGACTCTGCCTTCTAGGATGGTTTCTGCCCTGCTTCTGTCCGAGAGGATCCACCCCCTGCAGTCAGCCCACGCTGTTCTCGCACACTCAGGGCGTGAACCCCTGCCATTGATGGTTCCTTCCTGTGATGGCCACGTGGCCCTGTGCGGTTCACCTGGGTCCTCGTGCTACAGGGCAGGCTGGGGCGATGATGTGCTTTGCCTTCTGTTGCCAGGATCTCAAGAAAAGAAGCTTCTCGAAGTGGGCAGGGAAATAGGTTTAGGACATGCCACCGGTAGGACCATCAAAGATTTCTTCTAAGATCTTTTGTCTGAAGAAACTAAAATGATTAGTAAATGTTTCCTGTAAAAAACCAGAGTCTATATTTTCAGTTTTTAAAGACACTCACTTCTACTATAGCATTCAGTGCCGCCGTTCTGGCTCAAGAGCCACAGATAGTACGTGTGCCCATAGGTGCAGCTATGTTCCAGTAAAATTTCATGTACCGAAAAAGGGGGGAGCAGTGGTCATGAGCTAGGTTCACCTTCTCCTGTGGTTTACACACCCTTTCGCTAGGAACTTAGAATCGAGGCCCTGAGAGAAACGGATTTGGGTCCCCCCATAAGCCCCGCCCTTCCCAGGTCGAGTAACCAGAGGAGCAGGCTTTCTCTTTCTGAGAATTTGAAGCCTCATTCTGGACCTCACACATCCTTACAGCCAGAATGATGCCCCCTAAGAGGGTCTAGCCCAGCAGCGTCCCCAGGTGGCCGGCAGAAGCAAGCATCGTCCCTCTTGAAGGAAGTGTGAAAGGATTCCCACAGATAGTAAATTGGACATCTGGGCTCACAATCAGCAGCGTAAAAAACCTCGTAGGAGACTAGTCCTTCTGGTCAGGAGCCAGCCGAAACCGAGATGGAAGGCGCGGCCCTGCCCACTGCAAAAGCGAGCGGTTGATATCTGTGAAAAGTTAAAATACATGATTGAAAATTAAGAACAAGGAACAAATTGGCAGCATGTGAGACAGACTTTAAAGTGTTTTTATCCCATTAATCCGTTTCCTGCGAGTTCCTGAGAATAGAAGCCTGGGGCTCTGGGTTTGCTGTATTGTTTCAATGGCACGTTTTCAGGAACGTTGATGATTTAAGTATAGCTTTCTTTTAATAGAGAGCCACTTGCTGGGTGTGGTGGTACACACCTTTAATCCCAGCACTGTAGACACGGACTAGCGGCTCACTGTGATTGCAGGATCAGCCTGTTCATCGTAGCAAGTTCAAGTCAGGAAGGCTACATAGAGATACCCTGTCTCCGGGGGAAAAAAATATAAAATAAGAAGAAAATAAAATAAGAAAAAAAAGCCATTGGTACAGTTTTAGTGGCTCCTCTGAGAAACATACATGAGGTCTCAGTCCAGTCCATGTTGGCAAGTTCATGCTGCCCTTGGTCAGCAGTTGCCCTGTGCTGACCCTGGTCAGAATAGCTCTTGTCCAAATACGGTGATGCAGATCTGTAACCACAGAACTGGGGAGGCCGAGGCCAGGCTGGGCTACAGGTGATGCAGATCTATAATCACAGAACTGGGGAGGCCAAGGCCAGGCTGGGCCACAGGTGATACAGATCTATAATCACAGAATTGGGGAGGCCGAGGCCAGGCTGGGCTACATATCAAGACCTTTTCTCAAAATGATCAGAGGCTGGGAACGTAGAATGTTTGCCTCGCATGTCCCACCCCCGGCAGCACATGACAGACAGGGCCTTGTTGTGCATGCCTGTGATCCCAGCACTCAGGAAGTGGAGGCAGGAAAAGCAGAAGTTTAGGCTGGGCTAGAGAGATGGCTCGGCGGCTGCAAGGGCTTGCTGCAACCCTCAGAAGCTGAGTCCAGATCCCAGTACCTGCATAGCAAGCTAGGTAGGCATGGTTGTGCAGGCCTGTAGCCTCCCTCGGCTCTGAGTGAGACAGAGACAGAAGGTCACTGGGTTCCCCCAAAATGAGCTCCAGGTTCAGGAAGAGACCCTGCCTTGGAGGAAGAAGGCAGAGAGCGTTAGAGGTGGACACCAGTGCAGACGCCACACGCTTGGGGAGGCGGGTTGTCACAGTCGTTCTTGGTAACATAGCAAGTGTGAGGCCAACCAGGGCTACATGAGACCCTGTCTCAAAAAGGTTAAAAGAAAGTCAAAACACATAAGGGAGCTGTTATTTCTGGGACAGCAGGGGACCCACATTTCCATTTGTAGATGCAGATGCCACACCGAGGTCTGTCCTATTGTCAGGGCGTGACCAGATTCTGAACAGGGTTCTTCTCGCACAGAGTTTATAAAATCGCAAAAGTCATGGAAGTCCTACCAGAGGAGCCGACAGTCACTGCTCTCAGATTCATTGAAATTGTGAACAATAAAGGACTTGTTGCAGCCGCTCACAGTTATCCCGAGTCCGAATGTCAGCCGTTGACTGACATCCTGAATGGGAGCCATCAGGGGCTTCCACTGTGCTCCTCTTGACCGTGGCAGGTGGCAGGCACCACAACCTGGTCTCACTCGCCACCTCTGGCCTTCAGGGAACTACTGAGCTAGGACGGGCCTGCATTCCAAAGGAGGCGTCAGGCCCCTCTCTTGTGGTATCTTCCCAGCAAAGGTGTCGTCTGCCTGGGTTTTCTCAGCCAGACGCCTTAAGTGTGGCCTGGGCTCCCGGGAGGGTCAGCTGGGACTGACCGCTACCATTCCTGTCCGCAGAGAGCTTACTGTGGCCAGTGCAGCGAAAGGATATGGGGTCTCGCGAGGCAGGGCTACAGGTGCATCAACTGCAAGCTGCTGGTCCATAAACGCTGCCACGTCCTCGTCCCGCTGACCTGCAGGAGGCATATGGTAAGTCGGGGCATGGGAAGGGCATCTACCCCCGGAAGGAGGAGGCCTGTGCCTGTGCCGCCTAGCCTAGATGCAGAATAGTCCCCGGCCCGGCCCAGTGTTTGCCAGACCCAAGGCCTCAGCCCTCAGGAAGGCTACAGGCCCATCTTCATCTTGCCAGAGTAAGGAAGAAAGATGCTCCCTAGGTGGCATATCGGTATTCTATGTATTCCAGGATCCAGACTGGGGCATAAGTCTCCCTAGATATCCCTTCTTCTGCGTCTGCTCTAAACCCTGATGGCACGTATGACCTTTGACCCTACAGGCCCACATTAACCTTAAGATAATGAAATGAACCCAGAAGCGTGACCGGTCAGACCTGAGTGAGGTCAGCGGTTGGACTCTAGGGCCATCACTAATAAGCTATCTCTGATATAACTTCAGCTGTGCGGGGTCCCAGGGCCTTTAGACTGATGACCGGGAAGGAGCCTGGCTGCCAGCACAATGTCCACAGTGTAACAAGGGGGTATTGCCAGGCATGCTGACAAGCATCCCTTCTATCTAACACCTGCTGGGAAGGCAGTACCTCAGCCTGGCTGAGTGACCACCTCGACCACCACCTCTGTCCAGCAGCCAGCAGCACATCTACACACACATGCACACATATACGCACGCACGCACGCACGGTGCCGCCTGTAGTCATGACATCAAAGAGGGGTTGTAACTCCTACCCCATCACTCCAACACTGTCGTTTTCTTGCAGGATTCTGTCATGCCTTCCCAAGAGCCTCCAGTAGATGACAAGAACGATGGTGTAGACCTTCCTTCAGAGGAAACCGATGGAAGTAGGTGCCCCTTTCCCCAGCTGGGCGGGTCCCCCTCTTCCTGCTCTCCGACAGTCAGTGTGGGTGTCCCCAGGAAGATGGGTGGGGCTGCTGGCCTTCCCTGGTAACTGCAGTAATCCCCTCACCGCTGGGAACCTGAGGCTGAGACTTCTTCCTCTGTGTCGATTTCAGTTGCTCTACACAACACTTGATTTGTGACCCCGGGCCAGGCACCTCCCACACACTGGGCACCACACAGAGCTGACCTCCACGGAGGTGGCACAGATGTTGTGTTTGGGGACCGTTTGAGGGAGGAAAGACTTCTTTTTAATGGAGAGAGAGAGAGAGAGAGAGAGAGAGAGAGAGAGAGAGAGAGAGAACATTAAACGTCAGGTTCGGTGACACATGCCTTTAGTCCAAGCACTTGGGAGGCAGAGGCAAGTGGATTTTTTCATGAATTCAAAGCCAGCCTGGTCTACTGGCAAGTTCCAGGTCAGCCAGGGTTGTATAGTGAGACTCTGTCTCAGAGAAAGGAGAGAGAGAGAGAGAGAGAGAGAGAGAGAGAGAGAGAGAGAGGTTGTTCCTTCAGGTACTCTTCCTACCTACCCATCCATCCATCTGTCCATCATCCTCTCTCTTTCTCTCTCTTACACGCACACACACATTAATTGTCCATCATCTCCCTACTTACCCATTACCCATCCATCTGTCCATCATGTCCAGCATCCACTTATTCACCCCTGTAAACGTCTATCATCCGCCTGTCCATCTATTTATTATTTCCCCTCCCACGTTTCCATCCCTCACCCACCACCTATCCATCCATCGTCTGCCTTTCCCACACCTGCCCTCCCACCCATTCTGCCGTGAACTGACCCATGTCCCCTCTGTTCACACCCTCCTAAGAAAAACTGGAAGATTATACACCAAAACCTCGTGCCTCCATATGGTCCCAGACGTTCAGTGATTTTACTTAAGATTTTTCACTTTTGTCTTGGTATTTCCACCGTGGGTATATGTTCAGTCATTATTAGATGGTATATTGAATGTATTTTCTTCTTTTGCTCTTCCTCCTTCAATTTTCTCTCTCTCTCCCTCTTGCCTCTCTCTCTCTCTCTCTCTCTCTCCTCTGTGTGTGTGTGCCTGTGTGTCTGTGTGCGTGGACACAAGAGTGTGTGTGTTTATTTGTATGTATATATGTTATTGCTAGGGATCCTCCTGTCTCCAGTCCCCGGTGCTGGGGTTACAAGCATGTTCCACCACACCTGGCTTTTATGGTGTGCTACGGATCCAACTCAGAGCCTCAGAATTGTGCGGCAAGCATTTTACCCATTAAGCTATCTTCTTCACCCCATGGTTTTGTTTGCTGGGGGCAAGGTCTTCTGTAGCCCAGCTTGCCCTCAGATTCAGTATGTAGAGAAGGATGACCGTAAGCATCTGATCCTCCTGCCTCTGTCTCCCTAGTGGAATGCTGGGATTACAGGCATTTGTCATCGTACCCACTTGTTTTCCGTGGCCCTGGTGATTAAACCAGGGCTTCGTGCACTTTACCAACTGAGATATGTCCCCAGCCCCCTTTATCTGTTTAGACGGTCTCACTACGTGACCCTAGTTGACCCTGACCTGTACAATCCTCCTGCTTAGCTTCCCAGGTGCCAGGAGTACAGGCATGCCCCACAACACCCACCTCTAAAAGGACCGTGCACACTGCATTTTCAGCACCTAGGACTTCCAGCCTGATAGATTTATCAGGCTGTGACCTCGTCTTAAGCCAAGGAGCTTGTGGTTTTTTTCCCAGTAACCCCCCTGCCCCCGCCATGTTCACACAGCCATTTTGATTCAGCCTAGCACTCCTTAAACTGGGGTCTGGTGTGACAGCTTCCCGGGTTGGCCCCTGAGCGCTGCCATCCTATCTGAGGCCCCAGCTCCCTGCAGCGGGGTGAGGGTCCGCTGGGTCCTTGTGCTCCTGTGACCCTTTTAATACCCTTCTTTCCTTCCTTCTCTTTTCTAGTTGCTTATATTTCTTCATCTCGGAAACATGACAATATCAAAGATGATTCTGAGGTAAGTGAATAAAATGAGTGTTGCCAGGGTCTTTTCAGGAAGCCTGTTAGTTTGCTTCTGGGGCAGTTACATGGATTTCAGTGTGGCCGAGGGATATTAGAAAGTTTCTGAGCCGGGCTCCGATGAGATCCATGGTCTGATGACGGTTGTGAATTCGCCACACTTTGTCTGCTCCTAAGCCGCCCCTCTTTGTTGCTTTCTTTGTCCTTCCTGGTCCGGCAAGCCCTCAGCTGCTCCCTCAGTCAGACTTTTTCCCGGAATCTGACCCACGGGCTCCATCTGTCTCCGTCCAGCCTCATACCTGCAGCTAGCTCTGGTGGTGAACCTGTTTGGGGGAGCAGAAGAACACACTGTGCTCAAGGCCTTTGCTAGTCACCTCACAGAGCAGGCCCCACCCTCTCTGCCCTCACTCCCTGAACCAAGTGGGTCCATGGTTCTCCCGACCCTTCAAGGGCAGGCTCTGCTCTCTCCACCCTCCCCAGCCTCATGGGACACACACTGTTTCCCTTACGCTCCTGAAGCAAGTCCTCACTCTCCCACCCTCATGGAGCAGGTCACTGAACTTCCTCCTCCTACAGAACACGCCCAGGCTCACAGCCTAAACAGCCTCACCTAGTGAACAGCCCCCGTGGCCCCCAGAGCCCTCATGGAGGCACAGCTACATTTCTAGTTCTTTCTTTTAGAAGCCCACGGTCTTGGCTCTAGTTATTCTAACCAGAGTTAGATGGGACCGGGTGCTGGAACATGAGGCCTGGCTCCATGCTGAAGAATAGGCATGGCTGCCTTCCGTATGAGGGTGGACAGTTCTTGGATTCTGGCCAATGGTACCCCCTGCCCTCTCTGGTCTCCCTAGGACCTTAAGCCTGTCATCGACGGGGTAGATGGGATCAAAATCTCTCAGGGGCTGGGGCTGCAGGACTTCGACCTCATCAGAGTCATCGGGCGTGGGAGCTATGCCAAGGTCCTCCTGGTGCGGCTGAAGAAGAACGACCAGATCTATGCCATGAAGGTGGTAAAGAAGGAACTTGTCCACGACGACGAGGTGAGTGCGTGGCCCACCAAAGAGTCGCGTGGCATTCGGGGTGTGCACGTCTGTGCTCGGCTGTGGCTGTGCAGGAAGACATCCCCGCAGGCCCTGTGAATTGCATGCTACACTGAGTCAAGGCTTCTCCGCTTCCAAAGTTTGCAGCAGCAGAATTAGAACCCTTGAGTTTAATGATGGTGTCCCCTCTGTCCATCTCTTCATGGACGTTTTCTGTGGACTATGGGACTTTGTGCTGCTGTGAACAGTGACGGCAAACTTTCACATGTGAGACTTTGTCTAACCCTCTTCCCATTCTTCTCTATATCTTTCTCTCTTCTTTTTGGTTTTTCGAGACAGGGTTTCTCTGTGTAGTCCTGACTGTACTGGACCTCACGCTGTAGATCAGGCTGGCCTTGAACTCACAGAGGTCTACCTGCCTCTGCCTCCAGAGTGCTGGGATTAAAGACATGCGTCACCTCTGCCAGCTCTTTTCTATATATTTTTAGAGGTAGTACTAATAGGTCATCTGGTAATTCTGGGTGCAGTTTCTGGAGAAATTCCCAAACTGTGTCCAGCATGGTTGCACCATTTTATGTTCCTGCCAGTAGGACACAGGGCTCCATCTTCCATCTTCACCAACACTTATTTTCTGGCTTTTTTGTTTCCCTTCCAGTGCGTGTGTGTGATTACCCACTGTGTGCCCTTCCCTCCCAATGCATATGTGAGTACCCACTGTGTGCCCTTCCCTCCCAGTGCGTATGTGAGTACCCACTGTGTGCCCTTCCCTCCCAGTACCTATGTGAGTACCCACTGTGCGCCCTTCCCTCCCAGTGCGTATGTGAGTACCCACTATGTGCCCTTCCCTTCCAGTACGTGTGTGAGTACCCACTGTGTGCCTTTCCCTCCCAGTGTGTATGTGAGTACCCACTGTGTGCCCTTCCCTCCTAGTCCCTATGAGAGTACCCACTGTGCACCCTTCCCTCCCAGTACCTGTGTGAGTACCCACTGTGCGCCCTTCCCTCCTGGTACATATGTGAGTGCCCATTGTGGCCTTGACTTGCGGCTTCTCTGATGATGGCGTGGCTGACACTTTGTCACCTGCTTGTTGCTTCAGGTCTGTTTGCTGTTGTGCTGTTATCCTGAGTGCCTGTTGTGTCTCTTGGGAGCAGAGAAAGGCCAATGTGTGATAACAGTGACGCTGCCCATTGGCTGCTGCCACACTAAGTGGTGTCGTGTTTGTCAGGTCATAGAAAGGACTTCCACCCCCACCCCGGCCATCAGGACTTGGGGCTGAGGTTGGTTTGGGACCTTTACGTGAAGGGTGCATTTGTACAGTGCACAGCCCGTAGTGATATTTCATTTGTGTTTTACTAAATAAAGCTTGCCCGAAGATCAGAGTGTAAAACAGCCACACTGGTCAACCATAAAGGCCAGGCAGTGGTGGTGCACACCTTTAATCCCCGCACTAGAGAGGAGTGTAAGGTGGGATATGATAGGAACTCGCTCTCTTTTGGTCTGAAGATGTCAGAGGTGAGAGCTATCTAGTGACCTGGCCGCTTTGTTTTTCTGATCTTCAGGTTGAACCACAATATCTGTCCCTGAGTTTTCATTATTTGTGCTACAACAGCCTGTCAGGCTGTTCCTGTGTCCTTGGATGCTGACCTGCTGAGTGTGTGGGTGGGTGTACCCATGACTTAAGCCTGTCCTCACCACCAGGTGTCACTCTCCCTCCTGAGCTGAAACTGGTTCTCTTCCTCCGAGTCACCTTTGCCCCTGGCTGCACGGTAGCCACTGCTTCCCAGGTGTCTGCCTCTTGCCTTTCCCGGGTTGCTTAGTCTGGAATCTGAACAAGGCCTGAGCTCCCTCAAGTCCCCCACTGACAAACGCCCAATGTCTCCTGCTGACCTTAAACCTGGTCTCTGCTTGGCAGGGCTGAGGCTCCTGGGACACACAGCGCCTCAGCTTCTCTCGGGGGAATTCACCAGCTTTGTCCGTCCCGCCCACCTGGCCCTAGGCATTGTTATGCAGTGCTGGTTTGCCAAGGCTTGGCTGGTTTCAAGTAAAATCATTCTCCTAATGGCATTGGTTTTCCCGGTGCCCTTGCAGCTTGTTCCCTGCCGAGTTGCTGTCAAGCCCCCTCTTTTTGTGCTGCAACGTCAGCATGGTGCCAGGTGTTCATTAGAGCCTATAGTGATGCTTCTGGGGCAGGGTGGCCCAGGCTTGGGAGAGGTGGAAGACAGCCAAGCCACTGGGTGAGCAGGTCTAGAGTCAGGACCAAGTGTGCCTAGGTGTCCTCTGCGTGGAGAAAGGCTGGAGCTGTTCCCCCAGGTGGAACTCCTTGTAACACGAATAATAAAAACCCAGAGATACATGTTGGGGTTCAAGCTGAGGATCAGAAAAGCAAGGCAGCCAGGCCACTAGAGAGTTCTTACCGCTACCAAGACTCAGACCAACAAAGGGGCGTTCCTGTTCTCAGAGTGACCGCAGACTGAGACACTCTCTAGTGGCCTGGCTGCTTTGCTCTTCTGGTCTTCAGCTTGAACCCCCAATATCTGTCTGTCTCCTGGCTTTTAATATTCATGCTTTAGCTCCTAGGGGTAAGGAGCAACAGAGGGCATGCCATGGCTGCCTCCAGCTAACTAATTGGGTGCTTATCTTCTTTTCCAAAAACCTTCCAGCGAAGACAGCACTATTTGAACATGTCTCTATCCTTCTCACTTTTCTGCACATCAAGATGGGGGTTGTGAGCCTCACCTCGCTCTGTTCCCTGGGGATGTGGTGGAGCCAAGCTGTAGTCTCAGACTGAGCTGCTGCACAAAGCTGGGGGAGATGGCCCTGTGGCAGCAGCTGAGCCCCAGACGTACCTGCGGCTCTGCAGACTCAGTGACTGTGGGCCTTAGGAAACCTCCTTAGTCTTCCAACCTTCGGTGTGTGTCCCAATTGATTATGGGGAACACAAGACGGGGTATAGAGAGCCAACCCCAGCAAGCATCTTGGGATGGGGGGGCCGATGGAGGTGATGTTGGAGATAGCAATGATGGTGATACAGAAGTGGGGATGGATGGGTGATGGTGGTGATGACCCTAAGGGACGATGGTGTCACAGGATGAGGATTACGGGGTAGAGGATGATAGTGATGGTGATAGTTTGGTATTTTTTGTTTTGTTTTGCTTGTTTGAGACAGGATCATTCTCTCACACAGACTGCAGGCTGCCTAGGAACTTACTGTATAGCCCAAGCTGGTATTGAACTTGCCAACAGTCTTCCTGCCTTACCTGCCTCAGTGCTGGGACCACAGGTGTGAGCCACCATACCTGCTTGTGATGTGTTTCTTGATAGACGCTCCCTTTCCATCCGCAAATTGTCTCCTCGACCTTAGAGAAGAAAGCCTTTCCCGTCTCGCCCCTGCCTTTTCCAGGGCACCCTGCGTGGTGCTCGGGAGCCTCACTGGCGCTGCCTGGTCTCTGTTTCAGGATATCGACTGGGTGCAGACAGAGAAGCACGTGTTTGAGCAGGCATCCAGCAACCCCTTCCTGGTTGGCTTACACTCCTGTTTCCAGACAACGAGCCGGTAAGTAGGAACGGGTTTCCTGAGGTTCTGCTGCTTTCTGATACGGACCCCCAAGAAGCCATGCTGAACTGCAGCCCCAGGTGTCCCCCACAGGCCTTTTCCGACCGCAAGTGTGGGTTCTTTCTAGGTCATCATACTTATTTTGTGGTTCCCATTAGTTGGTGTTATATTCAGTAGACTTCACGCATCCGAGTTTATGTGACACCTTTCATGGGACCTTCTCGAAGGTATCCTACCAAGTGCAGGTCGTAGGTCCGACGCGGGTGCCGGAGCAATCACAGATATCCTGTGCTGCTGCTGCTGCTCGCTGAGCAGAGACATACATTAATTAGCACTAAAGGCATCACTTCTAAGTTTTACTATATATGCTGAAATTCTACTGCTTTAAAGATATTTGAACTCCCGTGGCCTAAGAACAAAGCCGTACATTGTGAAGAATCCAGGGACTAACGTGTTTATCCACCATGTCCCTACAACTGTCCCCCACTTGGTCTGTCGTTAGCAGGACTCGTGGGGGCTTTGCATCCCCTGCTCAAGGCAAGGATTTATTGAACCCTAAGGGTAAGAGCTGGCAAAGCTGAGCCAAATGTGACACTCAGAAAACGGAGGCAGGAGGATTATGAGTTTGAGGCCAGCCTGAGTTAAATAATAAAATCCGATCTAAAAACCAGCTGGGCAAAGGGAAAACGGTGCTTGAGGCAAATCCCAGAAGAAGCTAGACACAGATCTCAGAACATTGTCCCCAGCCCTCCGGCAGTGAGCCGTCTTGTTGTTTTATCAGACTGGTTATTAAGGCTAAATGTCCTGATCTACAAGTGTTCAGCAGCCGTTCTTCTCATGCACTGTGAGCTCGAGACTGGGAAAGCCAGCTGTGCCCAGCCCCCCAGCCCTGGGGATGGGTGTTCACTGATTCCCATCTCCTCCACTCTGGGAAGGACCTCTCTGCTTTGCTTGTTCTGTGTTTTCACATGTGACATAGAAACACACTAAGGAATACACTCACAGATACTGCTTAGCTAGGTCAGCACAGTTAATATAAAATCATAAGCTGAAACCTCGCTGTGTGCATTTGGCACAGTGAGCCGTGCTGCCTACATAGGGCACTTTTTGTTTGTGTGTTTTTGTTTTTCGAGACAGCGTTTCTCTGTAGCTTTGGAGTCTGTCTTAGAACTCGCTCTGTAGACCAGGCTGGCCTCATACTCAGAGAGATCTGCCTGCCTCTGCCTCCCGAGTGCTGGGATTAAAGGCATGCGCTACCACCGCCCGGCCATAGGGCACATTTTGTAGGGACCAATTTGTAGTTCAAGTTCCCCAGCTTTGGCCTTTGGTGTGATTCTATCTGAGAAGCCCTGAACTGAACGGGCCTTTTTCCTTGTGACTGATGGCATTCCTGTCACCTCTTGGAGATGCTGTTGTCATCCTTTCCTGCTTCTCACTCCTGAATGTGTCTGAGATTCTCTCCTTTCTCCTGCTTGAAGCCTGGCTACGGCTGCCTCAGGATGCCCAGTCCCCAGGACTCCCCACACTGTTACTTCCATGGAACTAAGCCATGCATGGGAAGCTCTAGTCTGGGATCTTTCTCCTGACCGGGGCAGCTCTGATTACTTCGTAGTCACCACTGGGAGGAAATCCAGGTTTCCTGTGCATGGGAGAAAGGACATTGTGCCCAGGCCCCATCTCCACACTCCATAGTCATCCCCTGCCCTTGCCTCATAGAGTCCTTTCTCCCTGTTCCTTCCCCGCCCCCGAGCCAGAGCCACCAAAAAGGCTCAGCAGTCAATGGTCTCCTTTGTGCACCCCGATGGCCCTGTCTCCACACTGCCCTGGCCCTGACCACGTCTCTTATGAGTAGGAACAAGCCTGAGGGAAGGCAGACCAGCCCGGCCCAGCCTTGGCGCCCCCAAGGGGTGAGACCGCAAAGAACTGGTATGGTCTAGCCAGCATTTGCAGGGATCAGGAGTCCCAGCAGGTCCACCCAGGTCACCTCAGTGCAGAAAGAGATGCCGGGACGATGGCCATGCAGCAGCTTCAGCACCCACAGCGGCAAGGCCTGGTCCCGGGAGTAAGGCCCGTGCACCGCTGTCAAGTCTCTCTGCCCGTGTTTCTCTGTACTGGCCCTCTCACTGACCCTGGAAGCATCTGGCTTGGGTTGTTTAGGGTGTTTTCCTTTGGGTCCATCTGCTTTGACCTTCAGCGGATGTGTATGTACGTATGTCTCCCTTTCTGGCTGTGAACTCCCTCAGAGAAGGGCTTGCTATGTGTTTTTATACCTCCAGCATTTGGGTACCTGTCAGTAAACTGGTTGGCCCGAGCGGGGAAGACTTAGGGTAAAATCACATTTCCTGTACAAACATAAAATGTGCACTTACAAATTTCACGATGTGTTGCCAGGTGTGGTGGTGCACACCTTTAACGCCAGCACTCGGGAGGCAGAGGCAGGTGGATCTGTGAGTTCGAGGCCAGCCTGGTCTACAAAGCAAGTTCCAGGACATCCAGGGCTGTTACACAGAAAGACCCTGTCTCATAAAGCAAACAAAACCGAGATTTCATGACTTGTAAGGGCACCAGCAAGATGTCACTGCCAGCTCTGGCGTAATGGCAGCTAGAATGTCAGTGGATTCACGATGGCTCAGAACAGGGTTGACAATGCTCCTTCACTCAACAGACCTAACTTGCAGGTCTAGGAGACGCGTCCTTCGTGTTTCTGTCCATGGAGTCCTTCTCACAGAGTGGCCTCTGTCGCAGGCCACAAACCTCTAGAATCAGGCATTAGAAGGGGGCACCAGCAACACAGTGCCTGGTCCCCTAAAAGATGTCACTTGGGCCTGTCCTGAAGATTTGCTGACAGCAGTCAATCAAGGCCGAAGCCCACCCTTCCTGATTCTTGCTTCCTGCCTTGCGCAAACACTTCATGTGTTTCCTCTGGGAACAAAGCTGGAAGGTTCTGGAAGGTACTTAATGTGGGAAGCCCTTCTCCCAGTTGGTGCTGTGTCTTTTGCACAAGCCAATGGCAGCATTGAGAGCCAGCCCCAAGGAAAGGGAATCCAGCTTCTCCCTCAGTCAGAGATACCCACCACATGTGCTCACGGACCTTGCACAAGGTGAGGCAGAGCTTCCAGGAACAGAAAATCTGGTGCCTGCAGCTGGGTACGGGATACACCCGATGCCTCCTTGCCTTGCCTCGTCCACTTAGTGACCACGGGGTTTATAAAGACATCTCCCAGAAACTCAGCCTGAGGTCTCGCCGAGCCTGTTGCTAGGGGCTGGATGAATGTCAGTGTGTTCTGCATCCCGGCAGATCACACACAACAGGAAACCAATGAAACTCCAGACAGGATGCTCGCGAGCACTCGCTGGCAGCGGTGAGTGGAAATCTAGTAAATAAAAGACAATGGTTTCCACATGTGCCTGGTGATTATAAAAGAGGCCTCTTCAGGCTTGGGGGGATGGAGGGATAAGGATTTCTTTCTTTCCTTCCCCAATCTAGTGGTGCCTACTCCGGTGGGCCTCACGGAAGCCCTGCTCTCATAGGCCAGCTCCTCTTCCAGGATGTGTGTCACGCAGGATACGAGGATGGAGCATTTTTAACACTAAGCATCTGTGTATGAGGAACCATACCCCATGGCTCTATGTTTTTTTTCCCCAACAGTAACCAGAATTAAAATTTTGCCACAAAACCTCTTAAAAACAGGGAAATCCTTTCAGCTGGCACTGTTTCAGGAAAAATGGCAACCGAAAAAGCCTCCTTTTAAACCCTTTGGTATGTGCCCCCAGTTTGAGTGTGGCCTGGGGACAGGGATGCAGGCTGCCTCTGGAATATCTATTGCTGGCTACAGACTTGCTCGAGACAGAGAATAGATTTTGTGTGTGTGTGTGTGTTTGTTTTGTTTTGTTTTGTTTTGTTTTTCAAGACAGGGTTTCTCTGTGTAAGGGTCCTACCTGTCCTGGAACTCACTCTGTAGACCAAGCTGGACTCAAACTCACAGAGATCTGCCTGCCTCTGTCTTCCGAGTGCTGGGATTAAAGGAGTGCACCACCACCGCCCGGCTGAGAGTAGGTTTAACATGTGCAGAGTCTTAGGTTCAGTCCTGAGCACCAAAAGAAAAAGTTTCTTGGCCTGCTGTGGAGTTCTTTGTTTTTTCTGTTTTTTTTATTATTATCACTGTTGTGTGTGGGAGGAGGGGTGTGCCAGCCTGTCTGGAAGTCAGAGGACAATTCTATAGAGTTGTTTCTTTCCGTTTACCTTTATGTGGGTTGTGGGGTTCAAACTCAGGTCACCAGGCTTGCTCTGCAAGCCTCTTGCCGCAGCCCTGGCAGCCCTGCTCTCACTTTTAAGAAAGGACAGACCTGCTCACTGTTTGTTCTTGCAGAAGCCCCCCAAAGGTATCTTGTTTTAGATACTTAAGGAAACTCGCCTGCCTAAAGTCACTTATGGGTATTAAATACCACTTGATCCTTTGTGTGTATTTAAGGAGAATGATAAAATCTGCCACAGTACGAAAGCAAGAGAGAGATTCTTCTCTTAGGAGAACAGGAAGTAATCCCCCTGGAGTAGTTCCTAGATGTATTAGGAGGCGGGGGCCCAGAGATTGGCATCCAGACTAGGACATAGGGGTGAAGAAGGTTCCTATGTGTCCACAGGTATGACTGGGAAGGAGTAAGCAAGAGAGCCCACTGGGTGTGGGAGATAGAGCAGATGAGGTCGTTGTGATAAGAACCAGGAAGTGACAGTGGGCAGGGCGCACCAGGTCCAACCCTCGAAACCACTTCCTCCTGCAAGTTGGAGGGACTGTGGCCTTAAGAGTTTCGGCAGGGCCCACACTGCTGTGAACTGGGCAAGCATCAATCAGAGGCCGTGGGAGGAAGGGAGGAGGGCAGGTGACTCAGGCTCTGTCAGGCTCCTGTGTGCTGTCGTCAGACCGGAGCCCAGAATAGAAAGAACGAGTGTTGAGTGGCAGCTGTGGAGCTGAGCGTGGGAGCCACGTCAGCCTTGATGCCGA